AAAATGCTCAGCAATCTGGCAATAGACAGATCCTATCTTGACATAATAAAGGCCATATATGAAAGAACTACAGCCAACATCATACTCAATGGGCAAAAATTAAAAGTGTTTCCCTTAAGAACAGGAACAAGGCAAAAATGCCCACTTTCGCCACTCTTACTTAACATAGTACTGGAAGTCTTAGCCACAGCAATCCGGAGGAAAAAATAAAAGGGATCCAAATGGAAAAGGGGGAAGTGAAACTGTCATTATTTGAAGATAATATGATAATTAATATACGTAGAAAACCTCAAAGACTCCATCAAAAATTTACTAGACTTAAAAAATGAATTTGGCAAAGTAGCAGGATACAAAATTAAGATCAAGAAATTGATGGCATTCTTATACACCAATGATGAACTCACAGAAAGAGAAACTAAGAAAACAATGCCATTTACCGTCGAGGCAAAAATATTAAGATACCTAGGAATAAACTTAACCAAAGAAAAAAAGGACCTATTCACAGAAAACTACAGGTCATTGAAAAAAGAAATAGAGGAAGGTATAAAAAACTGGAAACACATACCTTGTTCATGGATTGGAAAAATCAACATCATTAAAATGTCCATACTACCCAAAGCAATCTATACATTCAATGAAATCCCCATCAAAATACCGACAACACACTTCACAAACCTAGAACAAATAATTCAAAAGTTCATATGGAACCAAAAAAGACCTTGAATAGCCACAGCAATCTTGAAAAAGAAGAACAAAGTTGGAGAGATCATAATACCAGATTTCAGGTTATACTACAAAGCCACTGTAATCCAAAGAGCCTGGTATTTGCACAAGAACAGACATATAGACCAGTGAAAAAGAACAGAGAACCCGGAAATGGACCCAAGGCAATATGCTCAATTAATATTTGACAAAGGTGGCAAGAGCTTACAGTGGAATAAAGACAGCTTCTTCAATACATGGTGTTGGGAAAATTGGACAGCTTCATGCAAAAAAATAAAACTAGAATATCAACTTACACCATACACAAGAATGAACTCAAAATGGGTAAACGACTTAAATGTGACTCATGAATCCATAAATATCTTAGAAGAAAATGTAAGCAACAAAATTTCAGACATTATTTGCAGCAGAATTTTCACTGATACATCACCTAAGGCAATAGAAACAATGGAGAACATGAACACATGGGACTACATCAAACTCAAAAGTTTCTGCACAGCAAAAGATGCAATCATCAAAATGGAAAGGCAACCCACTGTATGGGAAAGCATAATTGCCAGTGATATATCAGATAAGGGGTTACTTTCCAATATACATAGAGTGCTTATAAAACTCAACAAAAGGAAGACAAAGAACCCAATTAAAAAAATGGGTAGAGGAACTAAATAGACACCTCTCCAAACAGTACATACAAATGGTTAAGAGACATATGAAGACATGCTCAACATCACTAATCATCAGAGAGATTCCAATTAAAACAACAATGAGGTATCACCTCACACCTGTCAGAATGGCCTCCATCAACAAATCATCAAACAACAAGTCTTGGCGAGGGTGTGGAGAAAAGGGGAATCTAGTACACTGCTGGTGGGAATGCAGACTGGTGCAGCCACTATGGAAAACAATATGGTGTTACCTCAAAAAATTAAAAATTGAACTTCCATTTGACCCAGTGATTCCACTTCTAGGAATATACCCTAAGAATTCTGAACCACCAATCAGAAAGAATATATGTACCCCCATGTTCATAGCAGCATTCTTTACAATAGCTAAGATCTGGAAACAGCCCAAATGTCCATCAGTAGACAAATGGATGAAAAAACTGTGGTACATAGACACAGTGGAGTACTATGCAGCTGTAAGGAAGAAAGATCTCTTATCCTTTGAGATGACATGGAGGGACCTAGAGAGTTTTATCCTAAGCAGAACAAGCCAAGCAGAGGAAGACAAATATCACATGATCTCACTTATTTGTGGAATATAATGAACATAAAAATCTGAGGAATGGGGTAGTCCCAGAGTCGTGGAAGTGGGGTACAGACTGACAATCCCCTGAAGAGGGGGTGGTTGTGGAGAGATAAACCACAGAACTTACATGCATGTATGCATGAACAATGGACATGGAGTACAAAGGTGGGGACAGGGTGGTGAGGGACGGGGAGGAGGGAATCAGTGGGGAGGGAAGGAGAAACATTTGTAACAAAAATATATAAATTAATTTTTTAAAAAAAGGAAATACTTTATATTTACTTCCTGTATCTTGGCTACTAATTTGCAAATTAAAATGAGAGTTCCAAGAAGCCAAGATTATTTTGTTTCTTTTGGTGATTACCACATCATAAGTGTCTGTGCCTAGAAGACTGCATGGCAGAGAGCTACCTGTAGTAACTACTGGTGGCATGAATGTGAAACAAATAAAAAATGGGGTCAGAGCAAGCCAAAGAGTGGGGCTGGGCAATTTTCCCTGGGTCTTGCTTCAAAGCTACACACACAAATGCCTCCAGGGGGCATATGGGCAGTGAAGCAGGTCAGCTGGGGGCTTGACCTACTTGAGAGGGCATTCTGAGTCTACAATGGGCTGAGCTGTACTTCAGACCCAGCTGCTTGTATCCTTGTAGGGCCCTTATTGGGGCCTTAATGTTAGTTTACTGTTTATGATTTTTTTTCAGGTGGTCCAGAAATAAAAATTTTTGTAATATGAATCCTCCCATTTTTTCTAAGTAGCTAATTTAAACCCAGAAAGCAATAAAAACATAAAGTTCATACAAGGGCTTGCTTGTACCATTCTTGAGGCAAACAGCTTCAGATAATATTAGGTGGAGAATGAAAATGAATTACCACTTTCTGTCAACTCCTGGAAGCTCCATGCCTCCCCCTCATATGCATGGAGTTTGGGGAACATAGGCAGTGAAGTCATCAGAACTCTTTCATTATGGCCAGGTGTATATTTTAGTGAAGTGGGTAAACCAGAGAGGGTTTTGAGGGGAATGTCACTAGCAGGACTGGGGAAAGGCAAGGAGGAGGGGAAGAAAAGGACATAGACCCATGTGTCAAGACACCATATCTCTGAAGGATTTTATAAGGGATACCTCAAACTCTCACCAACAACCACCACACCTCTATGTGGCAATGCAGAGTTGAAGGAGTCAGTTATACCAAGCCTCAAAGTGCAGCCTCACTTCCCCATGCCATCTATCTCACCTGGAAACAGCTGCACAAACTTCCATCACTGCTCCCCGTGTGCTTGGGGTGGGCAAAACTGGCCAGGAGTTCCCTGTGAAGAATCAGTAGCCACCTGATTTGTTGGGATATAGCCAACAAATGGGGATTCTGGAGGCAGCAGACCTCAATTTGGTGAAGCACTGACTGGACCCAACTGTGCTTTCAGGCAGCAATGAGGGAAGCATGGACTGTCATGCCCCGTGCCCTGGAGAGAAACAGTAGGCACAATCCTCTGATGCCCCTACTCCATAGAGAGGCAAGGTACAGTCCAGCCAGACAAAGAACAATGAAGAGACTGATGTACCTGGGTTTTACAAGGTTCCGTTTTTGTGGATAAAATATTTCCAAATGCAAGATGGCACAGCTCTTAAATTGTCAGAGCCTCCCAGAACCATTCCCTATAGAAATTGTTTATATAGTGTAGGGTAAAGGAATGAGACCTTCAGGTCCAAGATTTACTGTACCTGGGTCCTTTGGGGAATATGAGGCCACCCACAGCCACATGCTTAAGTGTGCAATGTTGGCGTGTTTAGGCTGAGGGCTGGGGGTTCTGCTTTGTAGTTGTGGCATGAATGCCCTGAAATAAAAGTATTAAGTGTAAAATTGGCTACTGACTAACCCTTGAGTCATCCCTGTCAAAACAACCTTCTAGGTAACTTCCTAGAGGTTTCTTTGACAGTTGCCACATCTTTGGTGCACATAGCCAGGGACCGCGATGTGGATACTCTCAGAAGTCCAACTTTTTTATGGGCTTTCACATGTGCCATGGATCCCACTCCATACACCTCTTTTTTATTTATTTTTATGTATTTTCACTCCTTTGGTCAGGCTTTCTTCTTAGAATTCCTCTTTCCTCAGTATCACTGGACCTTTGGCCCCTCACATATGCATAGACCCTCCCTTAGTGTATCCTTCAACCTCTCCCCAAATCCCTGCCAACTTTGTCTTTCTCCCCATTGCTCTGGACCTCTTCTAAGCTTCTTTGTGCCCCTCTCTACTCCATTTATTCTGTCTGTTTTACTCTAAGCCCCAATATCTCCCTCTCCCTCTCTTATTCTTTACCACCTCCCATTTGGGTGCCTACACCTCCTAAAGCAGCGGTTCTCAACCTGTGGGTTGCTACCCCTTTGGGGGGTTGAACAACCCTTTCACAGGGGTCAGCTAAGACCATCGGAAAACACATATTTCCGATGGTGATTCATAATAGTAGCAAAATTACAGTTATGAAGTAGCAACAAAAATAATTTTATGGTTGGGGGTCACCACAACATGAGGAACTGTATTAAAGGGTCGTGGCATTAGGAAGGTTGAGAACCACTGTCCTAAGACATCCTTCTCCCAGGGAGCGGCTCCATTTCTGACCCCTCCCCACTTCTTCTTAAGCAGTCAACTACCCTTTCCCCTCTCCCCACAGCCCATCTCTAGTTTCTTCTCCTCCCTCCTCCCTAGACCAGGCCAGCTAAATCCTATTCCATTTTTAGATGACTGATTATGGTACTAGCCTGAACTTTATTCACAGCCTGAATTTACAGCTGTCCCTTCCTCTCATGCCCCATCCACCAAACACACCCAATCTTTTCACCACGATTAAGTCCTTACACACAGCATGTCATGTCCATACACATTTGTATTTTTTAGAACAATTCAACAGTTATTCTGGCAATGATGTTGGTTGGTAGGAATCTAAAGCTTCTATACATTAAAAAGTTACATTTCTTGTATGTCTCCAAATCATACATTTGCCTCCACAAATGTGGCAAACTGTACCCTGACAGTTATGACTTTTTTACCAAATCATAGACATAGATATGGAAATCATCATCAAACTTGATGAAGTACACAGAGGGTTTGGCTTTGACTTGGTGAATGACCTTGCCTGTCCTTTTGGAGCCATCTTCTTTAGTATATTCCACATGTTTGCCTATCAGGCCATCCACAACTCCTTCTGGCTCCCTCTCTGCTGGAGGAGACTCACTGGACTCTGGCATGATACGGAGGTCTCCTTCTTTATAATCATCTAGAAGCTGGTACATGTACAAGACAGGATCTTTCTCATAGGTAATATAAAACCAGGCTTTCATGATTGGTGCTTGGGCTAAGACCATCCCTCTCCATTCATCCTTAGAACCATGCTCGCCCTCAAAAATATGTTCTACGGCTTTACCAATTATGGTATTCGCAAGGCGCACATCTCTGACTCGAGAAAATGGCACCTTATCAGGAAGGATTTTAAGCTTTAAAATCCTTTCATCTCTGTGAAGTTCCAGTCCATAGACACAGTCAATTCCATCATATTTCACCAGATAAAGGGAGGGATTTATAGGCACCTGATCCAGAACGGTTCCTTTCCACTGGGTGATGGGCTCATTGCCTTCCTTCCATCCGTGTGAAATTCTGCAGCCCACAATGTTCCTGCAGGGCTGCGACAAAGGTCTGCCCCTCTGCTTCCTTTGAGAGGCTTTTATCTTCCTCATATTTGCAGATCTGGTGTGGCGATTGACAGCTTCCTTGGTTTCCTGCCCTGCAGCTACCTGTTTGTGAGGGGTCTTCATACCTGCAGGGGGAGGAAAGAGGCTAGGAAGAAACATTTAGTTTATTATAGCGTGTTTTTTTTAATTTGTTTTGTTTTGTTTTTTTTCTCTATCGCAAAGCCGCTGGGCACCAGGTACACTGCTGCCCAAATTATCACATATGTCCAGCAGGAATGCTGGTTATCAAGACACTATTTGATGCTTGCCTGCAGTGCCCTCCCTCCAGGCTCCTTTAGCTGTGCTGGAGTTTTAGAGAGGTGGTGGTTGTTTTGATTGAGGCCCCAGCAACAGGGATCAGGCTCCTTTGCATAATGTTTGATCATCTGTTGCTATCCTAGAATCCCTACGCCAAACACAACTATTCACCATTTCTTAGACCCCACCCCATCTCTCCATTTCAACTAATGTAGTCCACATGTCCCTTGCCCATCGCAGTCTGCACTTCATGCCTCTTACTTCACATAATGATGCCTTCTGCCTGGTGTTCACCTCTCTTTCCTTCATTTCCTTCCTGTTCGTTCCCATTTTCCCGCTGGGTGCCCACAACAAACCCATTTCCTTTTCTGGCTATCTTTGTACACCATCCAGGTGCTTTTCGGCTTCCCCCCTCCAGCCCCCAGTCTCCAAGTCACTCTTCTCAGTCTCTTACGTGTCCCATCCCAGCACCGATCTCAAATTGTCCTGCGTGACACAAGCCAACCCCCATCCTCCAGTTTTCTAGTCCAGTGCCCACCTCCCCGCGTCCGGGGATCGCGGGCTTCACGTGCCCAAGTAGAGGACACCTCGCTGCTGCCTTCGTTGTGAGCCTGTGACGAAAGTGGATCAGCAGGCGCTGAGCTGGGAGCTCACAAGAGCTTGTTGGAGGAGGTCCGTAGATGAGGAGCGCGTCTAGGAGGGCGGCCGGGCAGGCGAGGAGGATGTCCCCTGTGTCTCCAGCACTGTGCTCGCGAGCCCTCTGCCTCCCCGTTGGCAGCGGAGGTCCCAATGCCACATCGGGATCCCACCAGCCGCTACTGCAGCAGCAGCAGTCTCCTCCCTCTTTCCGTAGCTCAGCTTCCTGCCAGGAGAGAGGCCTCCCCTTCCTGCTAAACAAGGAGCGCTCACCTCCCCCAACTCTCACGTCCCCCTCTGCCCTGGGCTTGGGAAGTGCTTCTTGGCTCCTGGACCCGCCCCTTTCCAAAATCCGGAGCAGAGTAGCCTACAACCCCCGTCCCTAACGTCCCTAACCATCTAGCATTCCTTTCTCCAGTTCAGGGCCCCCAACCTCCCCACCCCCACCTCAGTGCCCCTGCCCCATCTGCTTTCCATCTTCTAGGAATTCATCCTTTCTTTCCTCCGTGCTTTTGTGGAGTTACCGAAACCTTCTCCTCCTGTCATTAAAAGGGATTTGTGGTAGGATAAGAGAAATGCACTAATACCCATTTTGCCATCTTGACCCAATCTCTAGGTAATTTTTACTGTCTGGTCATTCCCAGACTTTACCTCTTAAGGTTAATTTTTTTCTTGATCCTTTTTTTTTTTCTTTTTCGCCGAACGAAAAAAGAATTGCATGCACAACGTGGACACTGTAAAATTCAGAAAATTCACTTGAGGAAAATAATATACCCTGAATCCATTTCTCATTCACCAGAGCTCACAGCAAAATATAAGCACTCATTATTTCCTTTGCCTTTTTTCTAATTTCTTAGAAATCTGGGATCATTTTGCAAAATCAGGGGTTAAATGTTATTTGTGAAATTATTTTTATGATATCTTGAAAATACAGTATATAAAGCAATATTATAAGTACTTCTCTCCATTACAATTTAATTTTACTTGTTTTTATTGAAGCATTTTAAAGTATAATTAAAATAAAATATTAGCAATAAAATGTAATACTCTATTATTCTCAAGCCCTGATCCATTCCCTTTTCCTTCTCTAATGTTTATATTTATTATTTGTTTTTTGTGCATTCAACCATCATACACGCACACACAAATACTATGCATTTTCTGTCTCATATTTATTTTTTTTAATGTGCATTATGAATGATAATTACTTCATACTTTTAGGTAAAAAATAATTATTTAACATTTTTGTGTTTCATTTATTTATTTGCTTTTCAAATTAAATTAAGTTTGTTTGTTTTTTCATCACCATTTATGCCCATAACCTTTTCTACATCCACCACTGGCCTCCCCACTGTAATCACCACACTGTTGTCCTTGTCCTGGAGCTCTTTTTTAGTTCAATCCATCCATGCCACCTCCCTCTTTCTCACCCCTCTCCCCCGCTCCCCAGCCAATATCCCCCTACCAGAGCTGTATGCCTGCTCTCTATGAGTCTGTCTCTATTTTGCTTGTCAGTTCAGTTTATTAAATTCCACATATGAGTAAAATCATATGATACTTGTCTTTCTCTGATGGGCTTTTTTCCCTTAGGATGATATTCTCCAAGTCTATCCATGCTGTCACAAATGGTAAATTTGTCTTCTTTTTTTGTGGCTGAGTAGTATTCCATTGTATAAATGTACCACAGCTTTGTTATCCACTTATCTACTGATGGACACTTGGGCTGCTTCCAAATCTTGGCTATCGTAAATAATGCTGCCATAAACATGGGAGTGCATATATTCTTTTGAATTAGTGTTTAAAGTTTCTTTGGATAAATTTCCAGAGGTGGAATTGTTAGGTCATAAGGCAGTTCCATTTTTAATTTTTTAAGGTAACTTCATACTGCTTTCCATAGTGGCTGCACCAATCTGTATTCACACCAAAAGTGCACCAGTGTTCCCTTTTCTCCTCATCCTTGCCAATACTTGCTTGTTGAATTATTCATGATAGCCATTCTGACAGGTGTGAAGTGATATCTCATTTTGGTTTTAATTTGCATTTATCTAATGATTAATGACATTGAGCACCTTTTCATGTGTCTATTGGCCATCTGTATGTCCTTTTTGGAGAAGTGTCTATTCAGGTCCCTAGCCCATTTTTTAATTGGTTTGTTGATTTCTTTTGCTGTTGAGTTCTATGACTTCTTTATAAATTTTGGATGTTAGCACCTTATCAAAATCATCAGTGAATATGTTCTTCCATTCTGCAGATTGTCTTTTCATTTTGTTGATGATTTCTTTTGCTCTGCAAAAACTTTTTAGTTTGATGTAGTCCCATTTGTTTATTTTTTCTTTTGTTTCCCTGGCCTGAGGAGACATATGAGAAAAAATTTTGCTATAAGAAATGTCTGACATTTTACTGCCTATGTTTTCTTCTAGGGTTTTAAATCCATTTTGCATATATTCTTGTATGTAGTGTAAGAGGGTGGTCTAGTTTCATTTTTTTTTTTAACGTATCTGTCCAATTTTCCCAACACCATCTATTGAATAGACTATCTTTAACCCATTGTATGTTTTTGCCTCCTTTGTCAAATATTACTTGATCATTAAGATGTAGGTTTATTTCTGAGCTCTCAATTCTGTTCCATTGTTCTATATGTCTGTTTTTATGCCAGTACTATGCTTTTTTGATTATTATGGCCTTGAGTATAGTTTGATATCAGGTAGCATGATTCCTCCAACTTTTTTCTTCTTTGTCAAGATCGCTGTTGCTTCTAGGTCTTTTGTGGTTCCATATAAATTTTTTGGATACTTGTTCTAGTTCTGTGAAATACACCATTGGTATCTTGACAGGAACTGCATTGAATCTGTAGATTGTTTAGTGTAGTATGGACATTTTAATGATTTTAATTCTTCCTATCCATGAACATGGTACATACTTCCATTTATTTTTATCTTTTTCAATTTCTTTTTTTGGTGTCTTATAAATTTCTGAGTACAGGCCTTTTACATCCTTGGTTAAATCAATAATAAACTATCAGAAAAGGAAAACCAATCTTATTCACAATTGTGTCAAAAAGAATAAAATACCTAGGACAAAATATTTTTAATGACTCACACCTGACATTTCTAGAATATGGCACCGGGTCATTATAACTCAGTTATATATATGTGCAATTTATAGGAATGTGATTTCTCCACACGTTGTAAAGTAACCAATAATGTCTTTAGTTAAACAACATTTTCTAGAACTTCTATTTTTACTATATAAATCTACTCTTGCAATATTTAATAAAATGTTTTAGATTTTTATATTGTTAACAAGCCTGAAATAGAACTGATATTTCTCTTAATCTAACTTGGCTGACCTTTATTCTAAACATATATTTTATCACAGGTATGTTATTTTTCTGAATCTTGCTTTAACTACTCAATATTTTGTTTTTTAGAAATTTTTTTATTGATTTTATTTTTTAATTAAATAATTTATTTTTGTTACAGATGTTTCTCCTTTTTTCCCACTGATATCCCCCACACCCACCCTCCCCACCCTGTCCCCAGCTTTGTTGTCCATGTCCATTGTTCGTGTATACATGCATATAACTAAAACAAAGAAAATAGTAGAATGCTAACTTTTTATCTACAAAATATGTGAAAAACTTTGTCTTAAGTTAGATGAAGTATGGTATTATTAGTAAAAATTTTAAAGCATAAATTATGCTATGTTGCTTCTGTTTTATACGACTTGTTTATTTTTGCTTCAAGCATTGTGTTATGGATTATATCAGCATAAGAACATGTTGTTACTTTTTTCTTCTCAAAAATGCCCTCTTCTGTTTCCACTTACCCTTCCAGCTACTACTTTATTTTTCTACTCCTCTTTGCAAAAATAATTGAAAGAATTGCCTATCCATTGTCTTCAATTTTTTCCCTCCCATTGTCTCTCTAAAACCCATTCCAATTCTAGTCTGGTTCCCATGCCCACTCTCCCATTATGCCATAAAAATTACCATTAAGGTCATCAATGACCTCAAATTTTCATTTATTATTCTCCTTCTTACTTAATCAATCAGCAGCCTTTGATCATCCATTTTCCTGGAAAAACTTCTCTATTTGACTCTCAAGATCCCACATTCTCCAGGTTTTTCTAGTAACTCACTAGCTACTTCTTTCTCTTTTTATTCATTCTTCCTTATTGTTCCCATCTCT